CACGCGTGAAATTGTGTCGATGCTTCGCAAAACGCTGCCTTGAGCCGGCCAGCGGCGCGAGCGATGCGCCAGGCCGAAGACGGCGCGCAGAGAGTCGGGGCGATGTCATGAGAAGCGAGTCGATGTTCGGACTAACAGACGAAGCGAATCATGCGGAAATGGGCCAATTTCATGACAACAGGCTGTGTAGGTCCACGCCTCCGAGGATGAGTGCTGGATGGTAGGGGGGGAAAAGAGAGATTGAGTCCAAGATGTCGATCGCTTACCGTCTACGCGCGTTCCTTTTTGCGTTGGCGCAGAAAGACATCCGTGTGATCTTGCCATTGGAAGACCATGATCCAGGCTGTGGCAAGCTGCTCAATTTAACGTGCGGCGCCCGTGATGCAATGGGTAAGTGGGAAGGCTGTCGCATGGAATTCTGCAGGAAGACAGGGTTTGAAGCCGGGCGCGCGTCGCCCTGCGTGTCAAGCGCGAGCGTGGGTGCCCCTTGCCCACCGTGCGCGGCCATTTTTTCAACGTGCTTGGAAGCCTTGACCTGGGCTTGGGACGACTTGGAAATGCAGTGGGATAGGGCGTGTATCAGGGTCCCTAAGCGGTATGTGGAGTAGTTTCAGGACGGAGCGCGGCGCGGGGCCGACCCGCGACGCGCGCAGAACTATATTGGGAGAGTTGGGGTTGGAGCAGAGCAGAATCCGATGCGAGGCGCCGCGGGCAGGGGGGGAGTTGCCGCGGCGCGAGCAGCGTGAGGGGGCATCGCGTGAAGCGGACAACAAAAATTAGCAGGCGATGGTGGCCCGTGCCATGTTTTGGCCCAGGATCGGTCCGACGTGCAGTTTTCAGTAAATACAATGAGCCCAGCATGTGTCAGCGCCCGCCGATGGATCTTGGCGAGCCCTAGTTAAGCTAGGGAAATATTTGAAGTCGCGTCAGTACCAGATATGCATTCATTTCGTTGTTCCTCAAATAACCCCCGCAACTCACTGTGGACTGAGACCGACTCCAAAGGATGCGAGAAGACGGGGACATCCACTAGCGGGGTTTGGTAATGTGGGGTAACCATATGATAATGTCGTGGAGGTCGACCCATTCGGCAATAGACCTATCACCCGGCGGACCAGAGTAATGCGGAATGGTAAGAAGGGTCATATGTTGTTCTTTGCATCGACGAAGTATTGAGTTACTGTGGGGTACCCTGCAACATTGTCCTCGCCAGTGATGCGGCAGCAGCGATGGCTGTTGCCCGCGGGAGAGGCCGATGTAAAGTAATACGCATTATATACATATTGGGTTTAAAGGATAAAATGCGGGGCGGATGCGTCGAGGTCGCAGAAAAAGGTGATGGCGATAATTTAGCATGTGCCTTAGCGAAGTATGCGCGCAGCGAGGGGGTGAGGGCGCGCGTGATGGGGAACGGGTCGATGCCATGAAGAGTGCGGGCGCGAGATTGCCCCCGCGACTGATTGCTAGGTGCCGAGCAGCCATGTCATATCAAGTCGCAGCGACTGACGTCGGCTTCATTCTTTCTCGCTCCTCATCCCTCGCCGCCTACATGTCGCTCAAACCCATCGCGATGGCCAGCGCGGGCGCGGCGGATGGCGATCTCGGCCCGATCATGGGCCCGATCGCTCGCAGCCTGGAGGTGGATCTTACCGACCGGGCGCCCATGGCCAAGGTGAACGTCAACAGCCTGGATGGCGAGATGGAGTGTGCGTGGCGCAGTTTCACGATCTGGTCCGTTACGCATCATCCAGAACGCCCGACTCGACGAGACCAAGACATGGTGCGCGCGTGGCCGGGTTGCCGCGCGACGCCGCGGGCGCTGTCGGGCGCGCGATGGGCAGTGAGAGCGAGATGCAAGAGACGCTCCAGGAGGCCTTCGCATACATGTTGGACCGCGGCGAAGAGCTCCTCGACCGCGGCAGGGAGCTCGAGGAGACTGAAGGGGAAGCCAAGGAACATAGTTACGATTTACTCAATGGTGAAGCGGCGAGAAGCACCGAACTATCCGCCAAGAGGCGCGAGATCCTCAACGGCAGCGAACAAGGCGCCGCCGAGGCCGAGGAGGTTCGCCTCGCGCTGGACGCCAAACGGGGATCCGCGGCGCGGGCCGCCCAGGCGCCGGAGGAAGTAATTGGGCATCTCGAGGCAATGAGTCGCGCGATCGGGGGTCGAGGCGATGGCCCCGCGGGCCCGGGGGCCGCGTCCAGAGGTGGGGGCCCGCCGTTCAAGGCGGCTCCGCTTAACCCGCCAGGTTATTCAATCGCGCCTGGGCCCGTTGACCCTCCAGGGATTGCTCGGGGGCCCAGGCCCGCGAGGATGGCGCCGGCCGATCCTGATCCCGGGGGGGAAGCGGAAGCGAGCAACGCCGGCAAGTGGATTCGGGGCCAGGCGGTCGCAACGGACTGCCAGGGGCAGAGCTCGCCCGCGGAGCCGCCGGGTCCAACGCCATGGCCAGAGGGCGACGTAACCATGGGTGCGGGTGGCGGCAAAGGGGAGCCCGAGGGCGAAACGCCCGCGGGCGAGTCAGGGTCAGCCCCGTCGCCCGCGGAGGCGCCCCGTGGACCTCCTTCCACCGCGCCGGTCGCGGGGCCCAGTGGGCTGGGCGGCGCGAGCGAGTGCTCGCCGCGTTGCGAATCCTGAGTCCGCGATGTTACCTCGCAGGCGCCTTGCCGAAGCCCAGGGCGATCTAGCCCGGGGCCGCCTTCATTCTGAGCTTAATTTTCAGGGGGCCCCCTGCCGGGGCCTTGGGCCTGACTGCGGGGGTCAGGAGGCGGTGGGGTGACCGAGTCAGAGGCCGCGCTAACAGCGAGGCGCCTGACTTGGAGGGTCCTCTGGGCAGCGCCTTCGCCGGGGGGCACTGTGACTGTCGCCGGGGCTTGTTCGAGAAGCTGTATGGCAGCGCTTGCTGCGCGCGGTCCAAGCCTGCCCGCGGGCCCCGCCGGCGCGGCGAAACGCGTTGTGGGGGCGCGGCTGGGGCAATGACGATGATTTGGTGAGACTAGCGATGGCCATGCAAGCCAATTTCCCTGGCGGCGTCGAAGATGACCGCGGCCCCATGGCCCCGAATCGCAGCCCCCGTCTGGCGCGTGATTGGGATATCGGTGACGTAACCCAGGTATATCAGCAACGTGCCCGAACTCCAAGAGCGGGAACGCATTGAACGTGCGCGCCACCTAGTTTGTAATCCTTTGGCCAGGCAGCGCTGCCGCACTGGCCATCAGAGTGTTCCAACGATTCAGCGGTATCCACCGATCGCGGAGCCATTTAAAACGGGCGCGATTGTAGAGCGGTTCCTAGCCAGAGAGTTGGCGCAGGTGTTCGCTGGCATTGGCGACGGTCTGGGGGTCTTTTACAGCGCGTTCGACGTGGCCGTTGGGAAGCATCGGGGGGGTGAAACTGAACGGGTGGAGGCACCAGAACGCGCGTGATGCTGTTCGACACTGCGTTTGGCGATGTGCAGGCTTGGGCAGTTCAAGCGGATGCGCGACCTCGGGGGGGGGGGGGGGCTAGCTCTACGATTGCCCCCGTGACCGAGGCAGCCGGCTGGGCGAGGAGAGCCCGTGGCAGGCTTGGATCCTTTCTGGTGACGATCGTCTGTGGACTAGCAACCTGTCTTGGGCTGTCAGCCCTCGCTCGGGTGCGCTCTATGAGCGCTTGCGGGAGGGCTGTGACCTGGGTTGGTTGTGCCCCCGTAGCAGCCGCTTAGATTTCACTTGTTCGGCAGCCGCTGGCAGGTGCAAAGGGGCGTGCGACCAGCCAGCCAAGCAGAGATCCGAGACAACCCCTGGAAGATGTTCGGGAGCTTGGCCCGATGAAGAGGGTGGCACTTGGACCGACGATCGCTGCGCGGGCGCGCGCGTGCACCGAGGGGCGCAACCGAGAGAGGGAGTTCGGTCGCATTGAATTTGGCAAGGCCCAGGGTCAATGGGGAAAGGCTGAGGTCGACATCCATCTGGCCCAAGCGGCCCTGAATGATAGCAAACCTTGATCATCTTCCGACCCCCTTTTTCTACAAGGTATATCGCGTGTTTAATGTGGGATGTTTCAGACGAGCGTGTGCGACCTGGCAGTGGCGGCAAACAAAAGAAATTCGGATGCCCCGCCATGCCGCGAGTCATATTATGCACTGCCATTTTATTTGCATTGTGCATGCTGGCGCATTCATTCTTTTGAGTTATGCGTGCTCTCGTGCGCGCATGAACTTGTTTGGGAATATGTTACACGCCGGTCGTTGACTGTAAGTACTTTTGGGTTCCCACATCCCAATCTACTTCGAGCGCCTTCCTACTTCAAGAATCGACATGCTTTTGCTGTGTTTTGTAATTCCCAGGGAGGACCTGGACCCAATCTATTATATCCGCCTTCTTACTTCATGTTTCTACCTACTTCTTCCGACCGACGTGTAACCCTATGCCGTTGACGCCTCAGTGCTGTTGACTTAGCTCCATCTCCCACCGGTAACAACCAGATGTGGCCTGTATTGGCAGGCCGAGAGGGGGGGTGTTTCAATGTAAACGCCCAGATTCCGTTCAACTTCTGTTATCTGGCTCAAGATTCATAGCCGCCTCGCAGAGTTGCAGGACACTTGCGTGCTTTTGCTCTGTTCGCTCAGTTGAAAAGATTTCCACCCTCATCACGATCGTGATATTGAGTTTGCTGGAGGAATGGATGATGATGAGGAGGAGGAGCGGGGGGAGGAGGAAAAGGAACGGGATGACGATGGGGATTCTGATGAATATCGGGATGCTGACGATTGAATCGTATGATGTTGTTGATGATGGCGATGATTCGGGAGATGGTGGCGAGGATAATGACAAAAGCAAGGGTGATGCTGTTTACGATTGTGATTATGTTCGCCCCTGATTCTGTTCGGGATGATGAAGATGACGAAGTGGATGATTCGGATAATATTGATGTGAACATATGACGACGACGAGGAGAAGTGAGGGATGATGGAGAGGAGAGGGGGGAAGTGGAAAGGGCCCCCCCCCGCGTCCGAGGAGCTGAGGACGCAGGACAAAAGAGAATGCCTCGGCATCCAGGAGCGGCCTGTCTGTCTCTGCGCCCGCCCCTGCTTCGCCCGCCTCCTGCCTCCTCCTCCTCCTTGTGCTCCTCCTCCTCCTCGTCGTCCTCCTCCTCCTCCTCCTCCTCCTCCTCCTCCTCCTCCCAGCCTCCCAGCCTCCCAGCCTCCCTGCTCCTCCTTCCCCTTTCGGGAGCTGCTAAGATGGGGGGGAGCTTGGGGGATGGGGGTGGCTATCAAGACCGGGGACATGCTCCTCTGATTTCGTGGCCCTTTTCCTTCTCTCAATACGTCCCCAGGTCCCTCCTTCGTCCGCGCACATGCCTCGGGCCAACGATTTGCTGATCGCCCTCTTGGACGCCCCCGTCTTGGATGTCCCCGCTGCTCCATGCCCCTTCTCCTATTTTTCTTGCTCCTCTGGCATCGGCAGCTGGATGGACAGCAGCACCGTGCGCAGCGTGAGGTGAACGGCTACCTCTGCCCTGGAAGGGGGGCTCCTGGCCGTCGTGGTCCTCGTCGCGGTCAGGGGGTGGAGCGCTCCAGTGCCGATGTCGTTCCGCCGTCGCTCCGAATCCAGATCCTCCTCCTCTTCCTCCTCCTCCTCCTCCTCCTCCTCCTCCTCCTCCTCCCTCTCCTCCTCCTCCTCTTCCTCCTCCTCCCCCTCCTCCTCCTCCTCCTCCTCCTCCTCCTCCTCCTCCTCCTCCTCCTCTCCTCCTCCTCCTCCTCCTCCTCCTCCTCCTCCTCCTCCTCCATCTCCTGCTCCTCCACCTCCTCCTCCTCCTCCTCCTCCTCCTCCTCCTCCTCCCTCTCCTAGGGGACGTCTCCGGGTCAGAGGGGGGGACCACACCACCAGGGGGCGACACCACCAGCCAGCGCGAGGCACCACGCTTGGTGCCTCGCGCTTGGGGTGGGGGTGTCGCCCGTCCTGCTGCCCAAGCCGGGTGCGCACCGCCGTGCGTCCTGCAAAGGCGCCGCCTCCCTGCCAGTCCTTCTCCTCCTCCTCCTCCTTTTCCACCTCCTCCTCCTCCTCTTCCTCCCCTCCTCCTCCTCCTCTCCTCCTCCTCCTCCTCCTCCTCCTCCTCCTCCTCCTCTCCCCTCCCCCTCCTCCTCCCCGGCGGAGGGGGAGGTGCGCGCGCGTCCGCGCGCAGAACCGCGCGTGCGCGACGCGCGCGAGCACATGCACGCGCGCGCGCGTGCGGAAGCAGCAGTACAATCCACCTGCACAGTAAGGATGAGCAACTTTTCCAAAGTTCCCCCTGCACCCTTCCCCTTCGGCAGATCCCTGGCCACTCTCGCTGGCCGCGCCCCTCTCGCAAAGCATCGACATGGCCTTCCAAGGCCCCTGCATCCTCAGTGTGCGTCCTCATTCTACGGGTAGACTTGCACATGTGCTCGATCGCCCGCGCGGGCAGGCGCGAACATGGTTTTGACGAGTCGTCCGAAGGAGAAGCGGCGGATGGAGGGGGGGGGGAAGAGGAGGAGGAAGAGGAGGAGGAGGAGAAGCAGGAGGAGGAATCATAATAATACTAAGCATCGTAATAGTAAGAACAATGCTGATACTTATAATAAGACGAATCAGAGTAATACGACTACTAATAATAATATTCATACTCGTAATATGAAAACTGATAAGACTAATACTGGTACTAATGATAATACGATTAAGCAAGATACTGAGAGTAAGAACAATAGTCCCAGTAATAATGAGACTAGCAATAGTAATAATAATAAGTACAACTACGAAGGCAAACGAATAACATTATGAGGAGGATGAGGAGGAGGAAAAGGAGGAGGAGGAGGAAGAGGATGAGGAGGGGGATGGGGGGAGGAGGAGGAGGAGGGGGAAGAGGAGGAGGAGGAGGAGGTCAAAGAAGAGGAATCAGATTAACAAGGAGTATCATCGTAATTATATTGCGACTAGTCATACTAAGAATGTTAAGAACCAGAAGTCGAATGGTACTACGAATAACTAATCACAAGACTACCAATACTACGAAAACGAATACTATGACGAAAGAGCATACTACTCGGAATAACAAGAAACATCGTACGGATACGAACACGACTAATAATAGTATTAACACCAATACTATGAAGTACGAGAAGGACAACAAGAACACGAATGCTAATTCGGCGAACGAGCATATTGATATTCATACGAACGATGGTACTAACAATGCGCAAACTAGTATGCATACTTATGGGCATAATACTAGGACTAGTGAGCATTTTACGAACAATACTACGACTCGTAATAGTAATACGAACACAGAAGACGAATCCGAAAACAAGAAGACGAACATGACTACTGATAGCAATACTAATGCTACGAACAAGCGTAATACTTTTACTATTACGAATATGGTTAGAATGGTAATACAAGTAATAGGCTTAAGTATAATATATTCATGATAAGACGAATGAGAAGCATAACGTGAATACGACAATTGGACATATGGATAATAATACCACTAATAAGAAAACTGAACAATACTAATACTGAGAAGACTAATGCAATAAACTTGATAAGCATAATCCGAACATGATTAAGAAGAATGCGCATCATTTCTATAATACTATTCGTCATACTACGACTACTCATCATACAGCTCATAAGATAGATAATAATAATACGAATGACAATAATAATACCATTATAATATTTATAAGAATAACAATAATGATAGTACTACGAAGAGGAGGAGGAGGAGGAGGAGGAGGAGGAGGAGGAGGAGGAGGAGGAGGAGGAGGAGGAGGAGGAGTCAAGTTGTGTAGCCAGGTCAAACGAGCCAGCGGGCCCCGTCCATCCCCACCCTTCACCAACACCACAAGAATCTTGTGCGTCAACTTGGCACCGGAATTTGATATTCGCGCCACCAAAGCCATAAAACCTCGTAGATCAATATTGACCCTCGCGTGAAGTCCCGACATTGCTTCACGTCAACGCTCATCCCAACACAGCTCTGGCAAATCCCATTTTAAGAGAGGGGCACCGGAATGTGAAAACGTTCCGACCTAGCGAACGGAAGGCGCTCGCGTGCGATCCAGCTTACGACGACTTGGCGATAGCAACTCTGCGCGGGTCCCGCGGCGGCGGGGCCGGGAGAAGTGCCGATGGGCGCGGCGAAGCCGAAGTATGCGCAGCGCCGACACAGCGTTGCCGCTTCCACGCCCGAGCTGCGCGGTCCTTGGGCAAGGACACCATGGCCCCGCTGCCGCTCACCTGTGATCCGGCCAACGAAGCAGGCGCCCAGCCCGCGCGGGAACGCCACTTCCAGGCGAGAGGTGCACAGAGCTTGGGCGAGCGCGACGCGTCGCCCGCTCGCGCGGGGCCCCTTACACCTGGTGAGTGACAGACATGCGCCGCGGAGGAGGAGTGCCACTCTCAGGCGGAACCTGTGCGGCCCCGAGGCGATCGCGAGAATTTCGTTTGCTCGCGTGTCGACAAGTGGCGTGCGAAGAGTGTGCACCGCGCCCCGCGTGCGCGGCGCCGGGGCGAGAGCGACACGCCTCCCTTGCGCGCGTGATGTGCGCCACGTCCCGCTCCTGCCGCGCATCTTGCAACGTCGGCACCAACGCGTCCATTTTGAAAGGAAGAACGTTGACTTCGCAATTTTACATCACTGGTGGGATGAGGCGACCCAGATGGATCTCCGATCGGCTGGCTGGATGGCAAAGCGTGAGTATATCTATATTCCCCAATCAGAGCTTGCCTCTGTAGGAGTCCTAGCGGATTCATGTAGTTAGGTGAGGTGCGTCGGGAATTTCGGCGGCCCGCCCGGGTGCCTGGGTGCCCGCGAGCTGCGTCGCCGATTTCGGCGGCCCGCCCGGGCGCCCGGGTGCTATAGCCCTATAGCCATTCAGACCTGTAGCCCTATAGACCTATAGCCTTTTAGCCCTATAGCCCTATAGCCCTATAGGCCTATCGCCCTGTAGCCCTATTGCCTTATAGCTCTATAGTCCTATAGCCCTATAGCCCTATAGCCCTATAGCCCTATAGCCTTTAGCCTTATAGGCTTATTCGCCCTGTAGCCCTATAGGCCTATAGGCCTATAGGCCTATAGGCCTATAGCCCTATAGCCCTATAGCCCTATAGCCCTACAGCCCTATGGCTCTATAGCCCCAAAGCCCTGTAGCCCTATAGCCCTATAGCCCGATAACCCTATAGCCTTTATCTTTGTAGCCCTATTAGCCCTATAGCCCTATCGCCCTATAGCTTCTAGCCCTATAGCCCTATAGCCCTATAGCCCTATATCCTTATAGTCTTCTAGCCTTCTAGTCCTATAGCCTAATAAGGCTATAGCTCTATATGCCCATGGCCCTATAGCCCTATAGCCATACATATCTATAGCCTTATGGTCCTATTGCCCTGTAGCCCCATAGCCCTATAGCGCTAAAAACATATGATCGGGTTTTCTCCGGTATCATACGCATACTGGCAGGGAATCAGGATCGGTGGGGTGGGGCAGGGAAGGCGAGGGTGGGGGTCTTCCCTGAGGTTTTTGGATGGCTTCGGAGGCCTTCGGGGCCTGGGACGGCTTCCATCAGCGGGGCCTCGTCGATGGCGCTCTGGCGATGCCAGACTCGGCCCTGACGGCCGCTCGTGGCCCGAGCTAGGGCCCGACAACCAGCTGGGTGAGGATGAGGGTGAGGAGGAGGAGGAGGAGGAGGAGGGGGGGGAGGAGGAGGAGGAGGAGGAGGAGGAGGAGGAGGAGGAGGAGGAGGAGGAGGAGGAGGATGAGGAGGAGGAGGAGGAGGAGGAGGAGTGGGTGCGTGATTGCGGCGGGCGGGTGCGCACGCTACGCCCAACCTCTTCTTCCTGCTCCCCCTCTTCGGACTCCGCTCACCCTTCTTCCTCCAGGCCTTGAAGATGCGGACCGCTGGTTATCGTTATGGTCCCCTTCCTCCTCCTCGTCCTCCTCATGCTCCCCATCCTTCTTTGAATTCCTCCGAAGCCATCCAGAAAGCCGGGTATACGTAGACCCCGAGAGCTGCCGATAAACTCCAGCAGCGCCCGAAAAGCCGCGGAAGCCCTCCGGAAGCTGCCGACGACTTTCCTCGTCCTCCCGCTCCCCTTTCTTCAGAGGCCCCTCGAGGGGGAAGAATCGCACTGAACGTGACCCAGACGTCACGTGATTTTGTCGACGCCGATGCTGGTCGTGGTTCATGCTGGCCGCCGCCGATTCGCGAGGATGATCCACGAGAGGACGCCTACCAAGGTCGACGCTGGCCAAGACCCGCACGCCGCTTCCGCGCACGGCCCCTGCGCTCCTCCCCCCCGCAGCCCCCCCCGGGCTCCCCGCGCTCCGGCCCTCTCCGGCCCTCCCTCGTCCGCGGCGGCCCCCTTCCCCTCTCCTCTCCTCCCGCCCGCGGCGCCTCCGGACGAGCGAGCGGCCGTGGCCCTCCCAAGGGGGCGGCTCCCCGTCCCCGGCCCTCCTGACCGTGGGCCCCTTCTGGGGCTCGTGCTGCGGCCTCTCCTCGCTTCGGGCTCGTCTTTTGGGAGGGGGTGCCTTTCGCAGCACGCCGTCCGGAGTCGTCGGCCTTTCCCTGGCAGCGCCGCGGGCCGGAGCGCCGAGCAGAGCTCGGACTCTGGAGCGTCCTCCAGGTCTTCGGGCCTCTTCCTGCTCGCCGTGGCCCCTCCCTCGTCTTCCTCCGCACTCCTCCCCCCTCCTCCTGCGCCCTCCCCCCTTCCTCCCCCCTCCTCCTCCTCCTCCTCCTCCTCCTCTCCTCTCCTCCTCCTCCCCCTCCTCCTCCTCCTCCCTCCTCCTCCTCCTCTCCTCCTCCTCCTCCTCCTCCTCCTCCTCCTGCTCCTCCTCCTGCTCCTCCTCCTCCTCCTCCTCCTCCTTGGTCCTCCGTCCTCCCTCTGCCCCCCCCCCGCCAAGGGCTTCGCGCCGCCCCTGCCGGGCCAGCGGAGCGGGCGGAGGCCCCGCCCGCTCGCCCGCTCGGCCCGCGCGCGCCGGGGGCGGCAGGGCGGCCGGCGGCGGCGCGGCGAGGTGGCGGTGGCAGCGGCGACGGCAGCGGCTGTCGTGAGGGGCCTGCCGATGCCGCGATCCCTCGTAAAACACGTCGGATTCGAGTCGCGACGGCTTGCGCGGAGCGCTTGTCGGGCCACCCCGAAGGCGCTTCCGCTCGTGCAGGCTCGCACGGAATGCTTGCCGGGCCGCTCCAGAGCCGCCCCCGCTCTCGCAGGCTCACACGGAATGCTTGTCGGGCCGCTGCGGCTGCGGAGAGGAGGGAAATCAGCCGCGCGCAGAGGGGGGTGGGGGGAGGGGGGGGGGGCTTCCTAGAAGCACCCCTGCTTCTCAGAAGGCGTGGGCCTTTCATCTATAGATGATAGGCCGGCGCCTTCTAAGAAGCAGCCTGCTTCTAAGACGCCCCCCCCCCTCCCCCCACCCCCTTGTGCGCGCCGCCAAGGAAAATCGGCGTCACCTGAAGATACTTCTACTATATGTGCGTCGCCCCTCCCCAGGGGTGACGCGCGCACGGAGAACTCTTGCAGTAGATGCGTCGTGGCGGGCGCTCTCTGGCCACGCCGCTCGGGAAACCATATACTACAAGATGGGAGTACTACCTGTTTGGGTCGGGCGCGCGCCTCCAAGGAGAACATATAGTACTAGTAACTATGTCTGTGCGCGTCCCAGAAAAAGGGTACCAATACGGGGGCCTCTCCCTCGTTTTCTCGCTTTTTCGGCCTCCCGGGAGGCCCCCGTCGCCACCGCTCGACTCGCCTCGCAGGCCTGGTCAGAGCGCCCCCCGGGAGAGAGGTCGGGGAAGCAGCGGTGTCGTTGCCTTCTGGTCTCCACGGCTGCGGGTGCCAAGCAGATGCACCACCACCACTTTCATCCCCCCTCCCCGCCTCCAGCCTCTTCTTCCTTCTCCTCCTTCCTGGAAGAGGGAGGGGGCGAGTGATGCGGTAGTGGTGTACATTTGTGGGCTCCGTAGATACTGGTGATGATGATGATGACGACGGTGATGATTCTTGTCACCACGACGATGCCAGTCATGACGGCGGCGACGATCAGTGCGGCGACGGTGCTGATGACGGTACCGTCGCTGCTGCTGATGATGATGACCGCTGTAACGACGACGACGACTGCGACGAAGATGGTGGTGGTGATGACAGTGACAATGCCGATGATGATGTCGATGAAGACGATGGCGACGACGATGACGATGACTATGATGACACTGACGACGATGATGACGATGACGATGATAATGATTCTGATGCTGATCATGCTGATGCTGATGCTGGTGCTGCTGATGATGACGATGATGATGCTGCTGCTGATGATGATAATGATGATGATGATGATGCTGATGATGCTGCTGATGATGATGATGATGGGGATGATGACGATGATGATGATGATGATGATGATGTTGATGCTGGTGATGATGCTGACGCTGATGCTGATGATGATGCTGATGATTATGATGGGGATGAGGATGAGGATGAGGATGGTGACCATGATGATGATGATGCTGATGATGGTGGTGGTGGTGGTGATGAAGATGCTGCTGGTGCTGGTGCTGGTGCTGCTGCTGCTGATGATGATGATGCTGCTGCTAATGACGATGATGATGCTGATGCTGATGATGATGCTGCTGCTGATGATGATGGGGATGGCGATGAGACTTGTGATGCTAATGCTGCTGATTAGGCTGCTGCTGATGATGCTGATGATGGGGATGAGATGATGATAAGGATGATGCTGCTGCTGCTGATGCTTATGCTGCTGATGATGATGATGCTGATTCTGATGCTGATGCTGTTGATGATGCTGCTGATGATGATGCTGATGGTGATGGTGATGCTGCTGATGCTGATGATGCCGATGATGTTGATGATGATGGTGGTGGTGATGATGATGGTGATTCTGAGGATGATGACGATACTGATGATGATGCGGACGCGGATGCTGATGCTGCTGCTGATGATGAAACCGATGGTGACGATGCTGATGATTATGCTGGTGATGATGATGATGATGATGATGATGATGATGATGCTGGGGATGGCGATGATACTTGTGATGCTCATGTTGCTGATTAAGCTGCTGCTGATGATGCTGCTGATGAAGATGAGATGACGGTGACGGTGACGCGGATGCTGATTCTGATGATGATGGCAACGATGAGGATGATGCTCATGCTGATGATGATGCTGATGACGATGATGATGATGATGATGATGGTGATGATGATGATGATGATGATGATGATGATGATGATGATGATGATGATGATGATTATGCTGATTATGCTGTTGATGATGGTGATGATGACGATGACGATGACTATGATATGAAATGATCATGGTGATGATGATGATGCTGATGCTGATGCTGATGCTGAGGCTGATGCTGCGATGATGATGATGCTGATGATGATGATGATGATGATGATGATGATGATGATGATGATGATGATGATGATGATGATGATGATGATGATGATCTAGCGTTTTTGTTTTCAAACTCGACGCTGTACCAGCGTAGCTTCGACGTCCATGCAGGATGGTAGTTCGATATTTCCCGAACAGCCTCGGCAGAGCCATCTTGGGGCAGCCTAGGAGGCAGCGCTACAATACTGTAGCGTGTCGTGGGTGTATCGTTGCATGATTGTTGCTTAACCTCTTGGCTTCTTGAGTTTATTTGGGGCCTCCTGGGTGCCTTTTGGGGCCTCCTCGGTAGCCTCTTGAGGTGTGTGGAAGGCCTCGTGGGAGCCTGCTTGGCGTATCGGGGTCGTTTTGGCGCGATGGCTCTACCGAGCTCTTCCGACGAGGCTCGGTTGAACTATCTTGGGACGGAGCCGTCTTGGAGGCTTCTGGGAGAAGCCTCGGGACGTCTTGTGGGGTTCTTGAGCTGCCTCAGGGTCCTCGTGGGGCCGTGCGAGCTGCCATGCGACAGCGCCGAGCGCTGCGCGACACGAAAGTGGCGACAGTTTCACACTTCGCAGCCCCCCAGGTAGCTGCGAGGTTTCAACTGGGTCCCGGCACCATTCCATTCCGCTCGACCTCCCAGGAGCCAACGAAAGGGGCGACAGTTTCACGCGTATCAGGCCCCCCAGGGAGCCGCGAGACGGTCTCAACTGGCCCCCCCGTATAACTCCACTCCGCGCGACCTCCCAGGAGCCCACGAAAGTGGCGACAGTTTAACATCTCGCATCCCCCTCCGGGAGCCGCGAGGTCTTCATTGGGTCCCCGCACAACTCCACTCCGCGCGACCTCCCAGGAGCCCGCGAAAGTGGCGTCAGTTTCGCACAGGCGCGCCCCTTCCAGGAGCCGACGAGAGATGCAGAGGGCAGGAGGGAGGAGATATAGGAGGCAGGAGAGGCGGAGGGCAGGAGGAGGGTAGATGCGATCACAGTGCTTTATTCAAAACGAGAGCCCAACACAGGAGGGTTGGGGAAGCACATTTTTTCTTCAACGATGTTTTGCTCGCCGAGTTGAGCAAGGCAAGCTAGCACAGCCACCGTTCTTGTGTTTGCGGCGCGAGCGAGTGGAACACGCCCACCGTGCCCGTGTCCGCAACCGGTCTTATTTTCTGGTTGCGCGTCGAGTGAAACACACGTCCACCGTGCCTGCAACATCGTTACGCTGGGACTGTCTTGGCTTGCCAGAGTCCTCGTGAGGCAGGACTGGCGGAACCACATCGTGCTTTGACGATGTGCCGCGCGCCGAGTGGAGCACGTCCCCCGTGCCGCCGCGGCATTCGTTCTTGCTTTGACGCTGCTCGCCGAGTGAGGCGCGCGTTCGCCGTGCTGGCCAGGTCACTCCGCGCGCGTGCCTTGTTCGAGCCGTGGCCGTGAGGCATCGTGTACCTCCGCCCCGGGGGAGAGCAGACGAGACCCCGAAGCAGGAGGCGCGCGGGAGGCCTCTGCCCCAAGCTCGGTTCGGACGAACGAGGACTGGCTCAGGGAGGGGGGAGGCAATGAACCTGGAGTCGGCGAGTTACGCGCTGACTGCTCGGCGACGGGCCTTCGATGGCGAAGCTGCACGTTCACGGGCGGGGTGGGCGGCCCAGGCCTGGGTTGGCGATCGGTCGGACGAAAGGAAGGCCACCGAGGGGTGGTTCGAAAACTGCTGCACGCAGCTGGTTTCGGGACCCTCGCCAGACGCCTTCCTCGAGACGTGGCTGCTTTTGGCGCGGGGAGGCGCCGAGAGAAACAGCTGCGTGAGCTGAGGCGCCGAGCTCCTGCTTGCCCCCCCCCTCCCTTCCGTCCGACCCGACGAGCCCGCTCGCACACGGTTCGGGACGCCATCCGCCGCGGTGCCTCGCGTGTCGGGGGCCCTGCGCAGTACCTGCCGTCGTTTCTGCCGCCTCGGCCATCGCGAGTTTGACCTCGCAGGCGGCAGCTGATCTGAACGAGGCACTGTCGAACGATCGACGGCGGCAGCCGCCGCAGGCGGCGGCAGGCCGCAGGGCCTCCCGGAGGAGGTGCCCGACCCGCCTCTCGCAGGCGCGCACCTCTCCTTCCCGCCCTCTGGCGGGAGGCGCGCGCACGTGCAGGAAAGGAAATGAGTCGGATGATGGGCGGCCTTACAGTCGGGGCCCTGAAGAAGGAACCCTTTTCGTTGGGGAGGGGCTCCGCGTTCCTGAAGTGTTTCACGGCTTGCCTCAGGCTTTCCTTATGTTTTCGACAGGAAATCGAAGGTTCACTAATGGAAAAAAGAGGCCTCGTTCCTTATTTAGGGTTCCTTAGGTCAACGCCCCGACTGTAGCTAATCCCACCCATACCATACCCGACCCTTCATGCACAGCTGTGCAGTACCCTCTCCTCCTCCTTCAGACAACGGGCGCAGGGGACTGTCGCACGGTGCGCGCAGACAACCTGTGGCGCAACCGATTGGAGATGTTTTTTTTTCGATCGCCGAGGGCGCAACCTAGGGCGCAACCGACAGGAAGCGGTTTTCTTCTCGGCCGCCCGCACGCTGGAGCAAGAGGTGAATCTAACTGCCGCCACACGGGTGCCTTCGTGTTCAATGGAGGCTCTTGTGCATCTTGGGGGAGGGCACCCTCGTACGCTCCTCATTTTTGGCCGGCGCAGGGTCTCATGCCTTTGAGGGGTGCTCTTCTGTCCTGGGTCCGACGGCAGGTCGGCCTGGAGCTGCTTCTGCGCCGCTGCCCCGCAGTGGCGACCCCTCGGCCCTGGGGGGCGCCGGGCATGCACCCGCGCCGATCCCCCTGGGCTCGTGATCGGCGCCATGCGCCTTCCTGGCCAAGGCAAGTGAGGAGGGCGTACAGTCGACCTGCATAGCGAGGACGAGCAACTTTCCAGAGTTACGCCTGCATCCTTCCCCTTCGGCCCATGCTTGGCCGCTGTCCCCCGCCGCGCCTCGCTCGCAGAGTGTCGACACGGCCTTCCGAGGCCCTTGCATCCTCACCGTGCGTCCTTACTCTGGATGGGGCGATAATCGCACCCCCTGGATCCGCTGGGGGGGGGGGTTGGGCACGTGCTGTCGGAACGGGTGGAGGGGGAGGAGGAGGAGGAGGGGAGGGAGGAGGGAGGAGGAGGGAGAGGAGGGAGGAGGAGGAGGAGGAGGCGGAGGAGGAGGGAGGAGGAGGAGGAGGAGGAGGAGGAGGAGGAGGAGGATGCGGAGGAGGAGGAGGAGGAGGAGGAGGAGGAGGAGGAGGAGGAGGAGGTGGAGGAGGGGGGGGGATGGGCAAGCTCCGTCGGAAGGCTAGTCGCCCACCCCTCGATTCATATCCCACCCAGAGCAATGTACGGGTTGACCGCATGCACCGATCGCGAGCCCAGGGTCGGCCGGGCCGGAGCGGCGTGCCCTCCTCTCGAGGCTGCCCCCCCCCCCCCGACAAAGCAAGCGCCCCGCCCTCCCCGCAGGCCCGCATCCGCTGGGAAGGCCCGCAGCGGCCCCCGGGGCTGGTCCGCGTCGCCGCGGGCGAGCCCGGTCAAGGGCTTCACCCGAGGGAGCCCCGCCGGGTGGGCCGCTCCGTGCCGCCGAACGATCGAACCTTGGAGCCGGTTGTCCCCGTTTGGGGCCTCCTGGAAGGCCTTCGTCGCCACCGCGGGATGCGCTTTGAGATCCTGGTCAGACCGAGCCCTCGGCAGGGCTGGACCTGAGTGCTGTTCTGCAGGACTTCGGCCGTGTTTTTGCTTCTTCGTTTTGGCAGGGAGGTGTTGGAAAACAGGTATAGCACAACAAAACATTAACCTGGCGAAAGGCCCAACCATACGCAGTTGTGAATACCGCAGTTGTGAATACCATCTTCGCCCACGTTCCCTATGTGGCCACGGCTTCCTGCCGGAGCCCGACATGCTCAGGGACACGTTCGCCCGTCGTCGCCCGCCGACGACGACGAGGACGGCGTCCCCCTGACCGAGGAGAAGAAGCAGGAGAGGGCTTTGAGAGCCATGAAGGAAGCTGCCACTGGCGCCCTCGGTGGAGCTCCAATGGGGCCACGATCCTCGTGAGGGGTGTGCCGAAATGGCCCAACGCCGCCATGCGAACCCTGCCACTGGCGCCTTCGGTGGAACTCCTATGGGGCCACGATCTTGGCAGGGGTGTGCCGTAATGGCCCGAGGCAGCCATGCGAACCTTGCCACTGGCGCCTTCGGTGGAGCTCCTAATGTGGGCACGATCCTCGTGAGGGGTGTGCCGGAATGGCCCGAGGCCGCCATGCGAACCCAGCCGCTGGCGCCTTCGGTGGAGCTCGGCCACGATCCTCGTGGCGGGTGTGCCGAAATCGCCCGATGCCGCTACGCGAACCCTGCCACTGGGGCCTTCGGTGGAGCTCCCTGTGGGGCCACGATCCTCGTGAGGGGTGTGCCGAAATGTCCCGAGGCCGCCGTGCGAGTTCCGCCGCTGGGGTCGTCGGTGGAGCTCCCCGCGGGGCCACGAAACGTTTGAGGGGCGTGCCGAGATGGCCCGAGGCCGCCGTGCGAGTTCCGCCAGTTGGGAAATTGCCCGAGGCCGCCATGCGAGGTCCGCCACTGGGACCTTTGGTGAAGCTCCGTATGGGGCCACGAGGCGTGTGAGGGGTGTGCCGAAATGGCCCGAGGCCGCCGTGCGAGTTCCGCCATTGGGACCTTCGGTGGAGCTCCCAATGAGGCCACGAAGCGCGTGAGGGGTGTGCCGAAATGGGCCGAGGCCGCCATGCGAGTTCCGCCACTGGGACCTTAGGTGGAGCTCCCTATGGGGCCACGATCCTCGTGACGGGTGTGCCGATATGGCCCGAGGCCGCCATGCGAGGTCCGCCACTGGGATTTTAGGTGGAACTCCCTATGGGGCCACGATCCTCGTGAGGGGTGTGCCGAAATTGCCCGAGGCCGCCATGCGAGGTCCGCCACTGGGACCTTTGGTGGAGCTTCGTATGGGGCCACGAGGCGTGTGAGGGGTGTGCCGAAATGGCCCGAGGCCGCCATGCGAGTTCTGCCACTGGGACCGTAGTTGGAGCTCCCTGCGGGGCCACGAAACGTGTGAGGGGTGTGCCGACAAAGAGACATGCGGAGGGCAGAGGCAAGGAGGCGGAGGAGGGAAGAGGAGGAGAGGAGGAGGAACGCGGGGCGCCGTTTCTTCAAAACGAGGACCCGACAACACAGGATGGTTGGGAACAAAACAACAAAACGAACAACAGCATCTAGGTCCAACCCTGACCTTCCGAGAGGTCCAGGGAGTAGCGGTATCGGTACCTGGTTGCCCCACTCGAGCTATCGCCGCCAGTCCTTTCGGTGCACGATGTGCACCGGCTGTGCTACCATGTTGTTGCCTCCTCTTCTTCCCAAGCGTGCACGCGCGCACACTGCTCGTTGCTTCTCCTCTCTTCTCATGCTCATCTACCTTGTCCTCCCTCCTCCCTCCTCCCTCCCCCCTCCTTCCTTCCTCCTTGTTCACTCCTTCCGCCTCCCTCCTTCCCCCTGCTCCTCCCTTCTGGCCCCTCCATCCCGAAGGAGGAGGAGGATCAGGATTGACAAGGACGGCGACGAGGAAAGAGTGAGAGGATCGACCAGGGACCCGTCTCGACTGTAACACCAGGGCGCTTGTGATGCTTGCCCTTCGCTCGAAGCTTTCAATTGTCCTGGGTGTGACGGGTGGGTCGATCACTGCAGCGCCTGGACAGTCCTCGAATCTGTCCGTGGCTGGAATAACATCTACACCCGAGGCACACAGTGAGCAACGCACTGTCACTGCATTCAAGTGAGATAGAATTGTGGTTCAGAGCTCTGACGGCAGATCCCGCTAGCCCTATAGCTTTATAGCCCCATAGCCCTGATAGCCCCATAGCCCTGCAGCCCTATAGCCCTATAGTCCTATATAAGTATAGCCTTATGGTCCTATTGCCCTATAGCCCTATAGCCCTATAACCCTATAACACAACAACCCTATAGCCCTAATCGCCCTATAGCCCTATAGCTCCAATCGCCCTACAGCCCCATAGCTCCGTACACACTCCTGACGCGGGCTCCGACTCTCTTTGCTTCACCCTGTTACGGTTCAAGCACAAGAAACAAAACTTCGCCCTCTCTGCCGCTCGTGACCTGGAGAGAGAGACGGGACCGACGGACCAGACTCGACACGAGGGGGGCGGATGAATTCGGCGCGCCAAGAACTCTACGAGGTACTAGCTTCACCCTGAGCTCTGGTATAACCAAGAGCTCTACGAAGTGCTAGCTCCACCCTGTTCCCGAATTCCGCTAGCTCTGGTGAAGCCAAGAGCTCTACGAGATACTAGCTCCACATGGATTCGACCTCAGAACGGTCAAGCTTAGGCCAGAGTGGGAGAAGCGAGGAGGCAAGGTTGCAAGCAAGCTTGGCAATTCCGATTCGACGCTGGAGCTCCGCTTCCTCGTTCTCTGACCAAGAAGGTATTCTGCAGCTCCAGCTCGAGCAGCGGCGTCGGCTGCAGGTCCCACTGGGCTTTAACCTTGGCAACATCCATAGCCCTTTTGGCCCCCCCCCCTGAGCGACATATTGCACCATGCCTGCGTAAGGTCTAAAATCGCTAAGCTGCTGCTCGGGAGGCTGCTGGCTCTGATTAACACATTTAGACACTCAGAATAGATAACACTATCACCTACTAGCTGGATTGCAGCCATCGCAAGACTCTGAAACCCACCTGCCTGGGGGGAGGCCACCAATGGGGAGGGACGGGTCCGAGCAGCCTACCCTCCACTTCTCCACCATCCAACACCTGAACAACTCCCCACCCAGCACGTTGAAGCACGTTGAAGCTCCCATCTATGAACATACGTCCCTGACAAAAATCTCCATCTTCTCTGGACTCGTCGGTCCAGCGCAGGTCAGTGGTCCCAGGCAACGGAGGTCGGGGGTACGTGTCCCCAGGGTGGGTAACAACTCCTCGGGTCAAAAAAAGCTCCTCGACAGGATCTGCTTGCGCCGCGAGGGCCAGGGTGATGTCCGCCTGCGCAGCGACCTCCAACCGTTGTGCCTGGCACTGCGTACATTCCCACAGTTTGTGGAACTCCGAGTCGTCGCATACTCCGCGCACGGCACACTGAGTTGACTGAACTTGGTACTTACGCTCTAGAGCGCGACTCTGAGTCCAGATCGCCCCGCAGGCCAGCGATTTCACACAGCCTCTACCGAGCGGGGTCGATCGTTTCGATTGGAGCTTCGCTCGAAGGACATCGAAGCGCAATCTCGGGCAATACATGTTCGCTTTGCTGCTGGCGAGGCGCTCTAAGGACCTCAGCACCGCACCAAACAGCATACCTTTCAACAGTGACGGCGAGACATAGGTTAGCACCACTTCCTCTCCGAAATCGTTCAGCAACGTAGCGAAAGCCTTCATACTCCAAGAGACCCTTTTCAGCGATAACTTTAAGGCTGAAAGGGGACCCTTGACCTTCTTCCAATCCTTGACCTCCTCATCCTGGTAGCCCGCCGCCGAAGCCATCCTGAGCTCCTGGGACGGAAGCCCATACGGGTACGAGTGGGTGTGAGCGGCCCAGACCTCCTTGGGAAACCTGAGGATCGGGGCGACTTCACATCTCCAGGAGGGGACGTCCGCTAGAATCATGAGCGAGGTGAGAGATCTGCTACCAGCCTGCGGTCGGAGTATCTTACCCGCTGATTGCCCAATCAAATGAACTTCCCTGTCTGACACACCATGCACAGCCGCACCATGTTCGGTGCAAGGTAGCATGCCCAACACGAAGATGCGTTTAGAACATCTCCCTAAAGACTTCCCCTGCGCTCTAATTTTCCCGGATTGCTCCTGGAACTTCTGGAGTCGCATGACGAATTTGGTAGCCTTTCTCGTAACCCTTCTCGGACGCCCAACCGTGTCATCGATCACCAGTTTAGTAGCACTCTCAACCACAGGCCCAGCCAAATCGCAAAGGAAATCACGCAATTCTTTGGCGACAGCCTTGTTGGAACAAGCAAAGTTGGCCTTCTCGCGTGAAACCTCGCAGCCAAGCTCCGAGACAAAAACATGATGCGGGGCTGCCGACGCTGTTTTGATACTCTTGATCACGTTTCTGGGCTTCCCTGTAAAGTGTAATTCCGAATCATCGATGTACTGGTCAGTACTTCACACTCTTTGGCAGCTTGGCAGCCATTTGATCGAAAGAACCAACCAGATGAATGCGTACAAAAGTGGTCGCGAAGCTGCAGCCCGCGATGACACCGAGCAAGGCGTGGTGTGGTCCAGAGACCATCGAAGACAAGCAGAGGTATCGAGCACTGCGGTACGTGTTGACACAGAGCTGCGCGATGGCGATGGGGAAACCGAACAGCCTGCACTGCTCAAGAAGCCTATCCATCTGGAATGTTTCATAGAACTTAGTCGTGTCCCACAACAATGTCGCTGATACTTCACCCTTCGAGATTCCTACTTCGGATCGCAAGACTTGACGCCGCACATCATCACAGGCTGACGCAAATTTGAAACCAGCAAAGTACGGCCTTATCTGGGAATGCTCCCATTGTTGGGCATATATCCTGCTG